TGTTGATTAAATTATTTTAAGTTAGTTGAAATTAAAGGAGTGGATTAATATTAAAGGGGAGTTATTTACTGATTTTAAAGGGTTGGCTAAGAATTTTATTAACCTATTAAGAAAATTCTGGAGTTTGAGGGAATTAATAGATTTTGAAGGTTATCCGGATATGTCGACTAAGAGGTCAAAACTTGACTTTTGAAATTAGGGGGAAAATTGAAGATTTTAGATTTTTAATAAATAGTAGACCTTATTATGAGTTGTTAGACAGGTGAAACACTCAAATCGGAGTTTCTTATGAAAAGTTATGATTTTTAGAAGTTTCAACTCGATTTTGACCTAGAGTTGACCAGAATGTTGACTTTTGACTTTGACCAAATTTTAAGGATTTGATATTTTAAGAAAATACTAGATTTTAATTAGAGTTTTTAGCCATTGAGTTTGATCGATTTGAAATTTTCTACGATTTCTAATGAATTTATAAGTTAAGGCATTTATTAGAATTTTTAATTAACTTAATTAAAGGGTCGCTTTTAATGGTTTGAACCCAAATGAACTCTAAACTCCTTGAAATCGCCCCCAAAGATCAGGGGTGATCTAAGGAAAGATTATCAAGCATTTAAATATTTTTAGGATTTTTAATGATTATTAATTAATTAATATTAATTTAAACATTAATTTTAATTAAAATTAAATTAACATAGATTATGAAGCTAAATTATTAGGATTTAAATTTCTACTAATTAAAGGATCAATTAGGGTCAATTAGAAATATTTTAAGGAATTTTAGAAATTAAACTTGATTTATTAGGATTTTATTAGTGTTAAAAGGTTAATTCTAAGGGGGACACTATGGCTCCTATTTGGTGAACCAAATGAGCCCCAAATATGGTGGAATTTAGACCATGGAATCACTTGATCTCAAGGCCTAAACCCACCAAATTTGGGCCCAAATGGAATACTCTAAGGTGGCCAACCAAGCCACCCAAGGTGAACTCTAAGTCACCTTCAAAAATTCCTAGGGAGCTATCCTAAGCTTGGATTGGGACAAAATTAGTGGCTCTACAGTTCCTACCCTACACATCATCAGCACACACAAAATCACACCCTAAGTCTCATTGGATAGGCTTGAATCCCATTTTGAATTTAAGGGTCAACCCATGACCCTTAGACTCAAAATTAAGGAAAAATGCCCTTGAACATCTCAAAAAGGGGAGATAAAATTTGGACATGTCAGGGACATGCCCAAATTCAATCTCCCAAAATTCCAGGCATGGGGAAATTCAATTTAAATAATAATTGCAAAAATTAAAATATCACTATAACTAAAATTAAACACAGTGAAAATGCAACCAGGGCCTGGAACCATAAAGCTTTTATAGAGCTACTTGAGACCTTTCCAATGAGCCTAAGAACACCTAATTTGGCCAAGTGTGCAGGGAGATATGAATTTTTGAAGTTTCCCCTATTTTATGTGAAATTAAATCCAGCCATTATACAGTCAGCCGGCGCTTTACACGCGGCGCGTCACGATTGGCGGGGCAATCATTAGCATTGACCGCGTAACGGATGGATTAACCATGGCCATCGGATGGAGGATCGGACGACCACGATTAACGGAGCTCCGAGACCGCAGGATTTAATCCGCGCCGTTGATCGAAATCAACGGCCAGGATTTCATCTTCAACCTCCCGCGCGAACCTGAGACCGTGAAACTTCTTCGGTGTGATCCAGGTGATCCCACCAGTGAACTTCGATTAAATTTCACAGGGAGGATCAGGACGGAGGAAACCTTCAATCCAACGGTGGAAATCCGTTGGGGTGAAGGTTTCCTTCACACTTGACCGGACTATCAAGCTAGGGAGCTCGGGATGGAGGAATTACCACAGAGAAGGCCTCAATGAATGAGCTTCTCTATCAGGAAGCTTCAAAAGGAGATGGCGAACAGATCCCCTTCAGACGCCGGGACTGGAGGACGACCGGAGGTACGACTTCGAGCAAGATGCCGAGAGCTTTCACCGGAGTTCGCTTGAACGGATCGAAGAGACCATCTGGGAAGCTAAGGGGAGGCACTGGGAGGTCGAAGGAGCTCTGGGAACGATTTCGAAAATGCCTGGGATCGATTGCTGAGGTCTGGGGAGCTCTACCCTATTCAGCCATCTCCCGCGAGCTCGGACGGCTGGAATTGAGCTGGGGAAGCCCTGGATTGATGCCAGGTGGAAAGGGGCACCGTCTCAGAGGGCTCGTGAGGGTCAAGCCGGCGAGCCACAGCCTTTGGAAGGCTTTGGATCAGGACTGGCTGGGGGGGGGGCCACCGGAGCTTGTTCTCCATTGGTTCCGACCGCCGCCGGCAAGGGTCTGGGTCGTGACCAGGGAAGATTGATGGAGACGTGCTGGAGTCGAGGGTGAGGTCAATTGAGCCTAGGGAGGCCTGGTTGGATCTGATGGCTCAGATGGACCCAAACCTGCTTGGTTTGGGTCGAATTGAACTCGACCCAGGTCAGGCCAGACTATGGGCTTGATATGGAAGGTGGGTCTGGGTCTGGTGCACCCAATGCAAGTGGAAATTCGGTCAAATTTGATCTGGATTCAAAGATGGCTCGTGTCCAAGTGTTTTTTTGGCTACTTTGGGTTAGCCTAACTATTGACCCAAGCTAGCCCAAGGCATGGGCTGGCTGGAGGGGGTGTATTGGACCTAGGGCCACCTATGGGAGGTGTTGGCCAGGTTCAATTGGGCTTAGGTTGAGAGTTG